TATATATATATATATATATAAAAAAAAAAAAAAACAGATTTACAAGCCAGTGATAAGCTCTCTCAGAAAAAGCAAAGGCTGTGTTTTAGCATGCTTTAAAAGTTTATCAATATCTCCCACTAGGAAGGAAGCCATAAGATTATTAATGTAAGTATTTATATGTAATTTCCACTTTGAAGTCAGTTGAGTTTCAACACTCAAGCTGCTGGATCGTCTAAAATCTTTGTTCCTAGCAAAGGGATTTTAGTACCAAAGAGCATGTCTAAAATAAATAGATCTCAAGGTCCTATACTACAGAAATTCTGACCAAGTCTGGCAGTGTAATAACTCATTCAGGTCCAATTTAACCAAGTCTGCCAAATGTACCTGGACAAACTTCCCAAATATTTCCATATAAGCAAGCAATACAGAACATCCATACCATGACAAATCCAATTTAATAAGATATTGCTGCACACTACTGCAAGTTTTAGGCCATTTTTTAGGAAAACTGGAAATCATTCCAACGTTTAAAGACTCAGCATAGTATTAGCTTAAAACAAAGGCTTTTTAATTTTGATCTCAAACATACTTACACGACATGAAGAGCTTCCCACTTTAAAATCTCTTTCCAAGCTTGCTCATTATTTTGATTGTGAATCTTAATAATATTAGTCATATCTTCAGGAGAGATGTCATCTTTTTTCCACCTCCATCTAAAAAAAAAAGAATACCATTTTGGAAATTTTTTCAAACAGTGGAGTTTAACTTTATCACTTTCCTCCATCAGTGATTTTGACAAGTATAAAATTCAGGAGATTTGGGATCACATAGCAAGTTTGTATCAGAGCCAGAATTAGAACTCAGCTAATTCCTAGTTCCCTGCTCCCTACTTAGGCTTCTTGACAATCATATTAACTTTGTGTAAAACTACAGGGTGTCTAAAGATATGCTTGTTCATATCACATTCTAATTAGAATGTGTCAGAGCAGACTCAATTAATCACATCCAGACTCAATTAATCAAGTCTGCTCCACAGTCTACTTAGAATGCTCCAACATTGCCTCACCATCACATGTAAGGCCCCAAGCATTTCAAAATGGCCGTGGGGGCACTTTATCTAAACCTTAGCAAATGAGCTTTAGATAATGCATCCAACGGACATTTTGAAATGTGCAGGGGCTTAACCCAAGTGACGGTGAGCCGCTCTTTAAATAAAGTAGCTGTCCGGGACCTGCTCTAATTAAAAAGACCCCCCCTCAATCCCAAGCATGTGTAGAAGCAGCCATAATTACCAAACGTTACCACAGTAGAAACCCACAGACGTCAGTTAAGTTAGTCAAAATGCTTGTGCCAAATCAGAGTATTACAATTTGCTGACAGATGTAGAGTTATTTTACCTTTCACAAAGGTATTTTTGAAATGTCTGTAGAGAGCAGCCCAGATTCACTTTTAATGCACAGAAAATCCTATATCTAGTACCTTAAAGGTACATGTAGAAATTCCTCCAATTCCCAGATCCTGCTAACATTTATACCCCCATTTTTAAACACGAGTAAATATTAGGGGTGTGCAAAGCAGGCAGTATTCAATTCGGATTCAGCCCAATTCAGGGGACAGTGATTCAATTTGCTGATTTGGATCTCTGTCCCAATTCGATTCAGCTGAATCTGACGATTCGATTATGATTCAGAGAATCAGCTATTTGGCCATAAACACAGCTTTATACACTTTTTCTACTTATCTAGAGGTACCAGGCGCAGCTCATGAACGCTGAAATGGTGGAGCGGATACAGCGTTCCATGGGAATGCAGGGGAGGTCCCCCATGTGCTCAGCGATAGACCCGGAAGTGGCCTAGAAATATTTCTGGTCCACCTTTGGGTCCACCGCCAAGTGCGTGGGGGACACCCCCTACAGCTCAGCAATTGGCTGCAGGGGGACCCTAGGTGCCCCTCCAGACCCAAGAGGCACCAGTCCCTGAGCCGGGGCATGAAGGGGTCCCCTGTGCGCTCTGCAGCAGACCCAGGACCCCACCCCGGGATGCTCCATCCACCCCACCAACTCAGTATTCACAAGCCGTGCCTGGTACCTCGGGGTACGTAGGGAAAACATATAAAACTGTGTCTATGGCTGAATCATTGAATCTCTCCGAATTGATTCGGAGCGATTAACGGGTCTCCTGATTCGATTCAGCTGCTGAATCGGGCCAAATCTCCTCTGAATAGAATCAGCGACCAAAGCTTCACACAGCCCTAGTAAACATGTGTGCAAGGGTTCATAGGATCAGGGTTGCCATATCAAGATGAATATTACAAATTGATTACATTTTAACTAGTTTTGAAATGTAATACTACAGCAACTATTATATTTTAACATCAATTGCTTTGAAAATAAATCAATTTAAGAATGACAGCCCAAATATGAAAATCTTTCATACAAATAAATATTAAGTGGCAAATCAGACAATATTCATTAGTTCTTAAATATTTTTAGACCATAAGAAACATGCTATGCATTTAGGGCTTGTCTATATTAGGATGTGGGCTGTTCTTTTTTGCTTTTTTTTTTTTTTTTTAAAACAGAAATCCTACTGTTGCTAAAACCATTTTAGTTTTCATGTTGTTATTAGTACAAATGGCAGCTTAGCAGTGCTAAGTTTCTTGCAAGAACAAACATTTTTAACAGTTTTATTTTTAAACAGTTAGTATAGGTCTAATCGAGTTCCAGGCAACCATGCAGGACTTGTCTGCCTTGGGGTCCCTATATTACAAAGATCAATCCAGTAGATTGGTGTTTGAAATGGTAAGGTACTTTACCTCTAAAGTAAACATGATCTTTGAAACCAGTTTATTAAGAGGACAGATTTTTAAAAAGCCATTTGTCTCTCCAAGTAAGTCGACTGCTTACCAGTTGAAGCCAACCAGTCCCTTAATAAACTGCTACAGTATCAGTGAACTTTGGTGAATCATTCTAGAGTCTTCAGGATACCCTGGATACTATTAGGGGAAGTCCCAGTTACTTACCCTTTCTTAAGCATAGCATTCCAAAACATTTGCTCTGAAGGATAAACCCATTTTTTTTCAGAGTATGCTCTAGGAATGGTAGACTCTTCTCTGACAGTTGACAGTGGAAATGGTTGATCTGGGGATGGCACCTGATTAGGAGGTGGCATCTAAACAACAAAAATAGTCACTTATTTTAATATAATAATATAATACAAACATTTTAATATAATATCAGTATCTGGAAGGGTCAACATATAGGTAAGTAGTTACTACAGAGAAATTGAAAAGCATGTCAAAGGTCCTACAGCAGAGCTTTCCAAACTGTGCCGCGACACATTAGTGTGTCGGCGGCAGTGTGTAGGTGTGTCGCGCGAAATGCAGAAAATTTTGCGGAAGGGCACCACGGAGCTCCCTTACTCGCGTCTGCTTCCCTTGGCCCCTCCCCCGGAACTGAATTACTGTGTCACGAAATGATGCATGTCTAAAAAGTGTGTCACCAACATGAAAAGTTTGGAAAGCTCTGTCCTACAGGAATAGTTGGCTTGCTTTTGGAGGTGGTATTTCTTGTTCATGCTTGACTAAAGATTGCCACAAGCCTTTTTTCCCTGTTGTAACCCAAAGCTCCACAGTGCATTTTTTCTTTAAGTGGAAAAAGGCTTAAGATCGCCTGCTTCAGAGACGTCTTCAGAAAGAGAACTCATTGTTCCAACTCCCACAATGCTCACATCCATATCATTTTCATGGTCAGACTTCAGAAGAAAAGAGATCTCAAAAAGACTAAACCAAAGTTACCATATTTCTGGGGTCTATATCATCTGTTGTTTGAGATGAACCAGATTTAACAGGACACACCACATATTCATACGCGTGTTCTTGATGTGCAGGAACAACGTTTTGGTTTTCAGCTCCCTGGTCAGATGATTTTACGTGCACTGCACAACCTGAAATAGAGAAATTATTAAATGATGCATTACAACAAAATACAATTTATAAAATGTAACTTTATGGGAAGAGTCAAAGCACGATACATGGTAGATACGCAGTCAACTCTCTCAGACCTGAGCCCTCACTGTATACGTTTACTTCCATCCACTTAGAAACAAATCAGTAAGTTTTTCCATATGCTTGTAGCTCCAAGTGTCTTGAATTTAAATCAGTAATTAAAAAAATGTATATCTTTTCATATATTCCTTGATAATTCTTACAATGACAACATCCTTAGTTTTCATCTGATTAGTAAAACACCACTCTCTCCTCAAATGCACTTAAAAAATCTGCCTTCGTTTTTTGCATCTATATTAATACAAATTTTATATTTCACTTAGTCACCAAAGTCTAGAAATGCAAAAAACTAAGGTTTGACGTGCAACTGATCTGCACATATGTAACATTTTTCTACTCCTATTTTCATTTAACTGTGCAGTCTAACACAGTAATATATGGCACAACATTATAAAACTGCAAGTTTGGCAACATAAGAAATAGAACTTTTGATGTATATCATATTGCACTGTTGTTGAAGAGATAATTCCGAATCATGGCACTAGCATGAAATGGCTTGGACTATGAAGACTTTGAGTGACAAGCTCAGCCCTTTTTACCTTTATGAACGCAACTATTTGCAAGTTGCATCTTGAAAGAGGCAGTTTTCCATATGACCACTACTTATCTGCTGATAAGGAACCTCCCACCCTTGACAAACACCTTTTGGAACACATTTGCAAGGTTCAGTTTGGGTTCACTTCAGTCCTGTGCATAGTTACCTTCCATTTTTTTCTGATGCATTGGACATTCTGAAGGTGGAGATGCTGTTTGATGTTCAGATACATTGGGTGACTGAACTGCAAGGGATGGAGATGACGCTGACAAACCCATAGCAACTTTTATTTTTAGATCAAATTTGCAGGGAAAAATTGCACATCTAGAATACAAAGTCACAGTTAGCACTATTGAAACAATCATAACCAAAAAACCCCCACATTTTGCATCAAAAATTATTACACAGAAATGAGAACACAGGCATGGAAGAGTGAGTGTATTAAAAAAAAAAGTCAACAGACCAGAGGCTGCAGTACTTCTACCTGTGGAAGCTTTTCCAGAGCAGGTTAGACTCACAGGATGTTTACAGATATGCTCCAGGAGTACAGGGTGCACTATAATTAAATGGCTCTGAGAGTTGCTCTAATTAAAGCACCTGGAGCTTCACATTTCAGTGTCCCTGGGCTGAAAAATGGCAGCAAGGGCGCTTTAACTAAAGCTTGTCAAATGAGCTTTAGGTAAAGCATCCCTGCCGCCATTTTTCAGCATGGGGATGCTGATACACGTGCATCTTCTCCAACCTCGCTGCATGTGTATAGGTGCCCGTACTCTTCTAGGATAGTTTAGTTAGGGATGACCCTGCCTTGAGCAGAGGGATGGACTGGATGACCTTCTAAGGTCCCTTCCAGCCCCACTCTGCTATGACTCTGTACCTCTCAAATCTGCCAAGATACAAAGTTAATGGCATATTCCTGAAGTACGAGAAAAAGTATCCATCTCACGCTTAGCTGCAGTGTGAGAAGCCGTTCAGGGCAGATCTAGAGCAGTGAAGAGCAACTGAAATGATGCAGGTGGGGCAGCGCATCATCACATTAACACCACGCGTGTTTTTCTCCACTTAAAAATAAATCAGCAGCTTTGCTAAGAGGCCAGAGCACTACGGCTGTGCAGCTCGGCTAAAGACTGAAGCAGAAACAGGTACAACTTTACCAGGAGGAGCTAGAAACTACCTGCCGGGCTGTGACCCGAGGGCGGCGGGGCGGGCCGGGCCGGGAGCAGGGGAAAGGAGCGAGGCCCCCGCACCCGTGGGACGCAGCGCTCTAGGAGGGCGGCGGCAGATGACAACGAGCCAGAGACTCCCTCAGCACCCCTGACTCGGATCTGCGGGGGGCCCGCCTGCTCAGCATCAAGGTCATGGCCGTGCCCATCCCTGCCGGCCTAAGAAGGCCCCGCCCGGCCGCGAGCACCCCAGCGCGGGCCGCGCACTTCACACCCCTCCCCCTCCCCGCCGCCCCATGCACCTGCCCGCGCGCACCCACCGCAGAGGAAAATAACCCCCGCCGGCCTCTCGCGAGACTTGATCGGATCCCGCGTCGTTGCTGGCTGGCTGCC